CAGAAACTACCATTATACATAGAAAACATTTTTCTAATTGGTTTTTATGGATCTAAGTTTTGATTTACGAAAAATCCATTTTTGGCTCTAATGTTAAAAACCTTGTCGATCTAATTCAACAAACCCAAATTCTTCTGATTCAAATGATTTTTTTTCTTTAGATTTTTTTTAGTTTGATTTAACAAAGAAATAGCCTAAAATATTGCATTTTTATTTAACTGGAAAAATTATAAAATCCACTATTACTAACTTTCAAATCCATTAGTGATGTATTTCAAATCCACATAATAATACCAAATCCACGTTCAATGTATTAGAAATCCATCAAATTTTAAAATCCATTTAGTAATTTAAATCCATTAAATACCTTTATCCAATAACACCCCCTTAAGTTCGCTCTAGGGATTGGTATTCAAATTGTATTTGGAATTGAAATTGGAATTGGCCTGTTGTTTCTCCGTGAGTAAATCTGATTGGGATTGAAATTTTTATTGATTTTGTTGTTGTTCTCTCGTCAGTGATGGCTCGTGTAAAAGACGGACGAAGAGTTTATGAGTCAACAAGTACTGAAGCTAAGACTAAGACAGATGCAACTTCGGAGACTGATGTTGGAGAAGAAACAGAAGCTGAGAAAGAAAAAAATTTGAGTTCATGTGAAGAAGCTGGTCAGGTACGTTTGGAGAATGGGAAGAATTGGTAATAAAATTAGAAAGTTACTCTTAAAATAACTAGTTCAACTAGAATAACTAGTAAGGTTTTTAGTTTTAGTACAACAGCAGACAACTAAAACAGGTTTGTAACTTTCTGAAAATGCAGGATTTAGATGATAATGGTGATGGAGAAGAGGATAGTGAGGATGGTGAGGATGGTGAGGAGGATGGTGAGGATGGTGAGGAGGATGGTGAGGATGGTGAGGAGGATGGTGAGGATGGTGAGGAGGATATTGAGGAATCTGGGGAGGAAGAGGTTGAGGAATCTGGTGAGGAAGAGGATGAAGAGGATGAAGAATCTGGTGCGAAAGAGGATGAGGAATCTGGTGAGGGCAGTGATAAGGATGAGGATGAAGCTAGTGATGAGGATGATGATTCCCATGCATTGCCTCCGGAGAAGATGTACTTTGGTCCAAGTGAGTACATGAAAAGCTGTAAGATAGGAACTAGGTGTAGTGTGACGCAGACAGTGGAGTACATAGAGACGTTTGAGACAGAAGTCAGTT